TTGAAAAAAAATGTATTAGTTACTGAACTCGTTTTATTTATCATAGAATTCATACTCCTTATCACTGTCAAAACTCCCAACCATTAGCTTGTCCTCATCTGTGTCTGATGACGAATCACTGTTTTCATATATTGCCTCAGCCTCAGTTCCATCTATGGCATTTGAAATCGACAACCACTGTATAAGATGCACCCAGTTTTTAGACCCCAAATTTTTCAAAAACAGGTGCGTCTTATACATGGGGAAATATGGTAGGTGGTTATAAGCAAAGAATTTGGGTTTTCATCACTCTACCTCTAAGATGCTATTAGTACCTAAGCATTTAGTTCACAGAATTTTACTCCTAGAGAAGTAGTAATTTTGCTTCTTGTTTCAATTACACTTTTTCCGAGGAACTACTCATCCTACACAAGCTGTAACACACATAGGATCAAACAGTAATGAAGATGCAGTCAATCCATTTCTAGGACTAAGGACTGAGTACTGGCTAGTCATTCTCTTATCTGAAGAGACTAACCCTTTAAATTTTCTACAAGCATTTTGAAAGAACCTGAAATCTGACTTTTTTTTTTTAATTGAGGGGATGGGAACAGTGCTGGGGAATTGGGGGAAGGGGAACAGACAAGTTGCTGTTGTTTTGTTCTTCAGTCTAGTTGTGGAGGATGTTGCTTCACTGGCCCAAGCTGGCACCATCACTGCGCTCTTCCCGGGCAAGGCAGATCAGTCGCCGGCTTCTGGACGGCCACTCACTGCGGCTGCTGGCCGCTCACACTGGCTGCTGGCTACATACGGTAGCCCATGGCAACTCACTGCAGCAGGGGCTGCAGCCTACGCCATCGCAGAAGACTCGGCAGCCCAGCTCCAGGTTGAGCTGTTGTTCAGCATCTTAGCTGTAGAGGGCAGTGTCACTGGCCCTCATATGTGGGATCTGAACCGGGGTCCTCTGGCGTCCCAAGCCAGTTCTTAACCATCGCGCCACTCGGCCGGCCCAAACCTGTCATTCTTGATTCTAATTTGTAATCTAGCGTATAAACTTAACATATTGTGGACTGGTGACACAGATTTGCGTCTATACATTTAAATGCCCCATCCTCAATGTGTTAAGACATGTAGATCGTCTATTGTTTTGAATTATGTGAACCATATACTTAATATCACATACTTTTAAAAAATAGTAAATATCAATCCACTGAGCACCCACCTCCCTCCACAAATGGGTATTATTTCTTTATGTAAATTTCAGAATTATGGTATATTCCTAGAATATAAGATTCAGGAAAGACTTATCATATAACCCTTTCCCCAAGATAGAATCAAAACAATACCATGTTTCAGGAAAAATAATTTCTTCACGTGATTCCTTTAAAGAAAGGACATTTGTCATACTGTTTTAACTTGAGAGAAGTTGAATCAATCTGCAGTATCTAACACTTCTACCAGGCTCTAAAAAGGTTTTTGACTCAATTATCCTTATACTTAATTTAATTCTGTCAACATCTTTTTAAAGGAATACAAGATATAAATTTTCTAGAGGGTTTAAATCGACCTAGTAGACCAATGCCAGAATTAATGCTATGATCCTAAATATCCGATTTTCATTAAAAGAGGAATTTAGATGCTAAGGTGCATAATCCTCATTTAATACTTCATGTTTTCTAATCAAATATATATGAGTTCTGACTCCAAAACCTGTATGTCTTACTGAACCATGGGTCCTTACATTCTTCGGAGTCATTTGTTTGAAAATCTACAGGGCCTAAACCTGAAGCTTTGGTTTCATGATGCTAGGTTAAGATCCTCTGCACCAGACCACACTGCACAAGTAGCATATATTTATCTGTACAAGTACCCCAAATATTGTACCACCTTGTTTGGAAAACAAATTTCATTTTTAACTCTAAGTAAGAAATTACATTCTTAATGTACTTTAGAAGGATTATAAAAGTATTTCTAAATAGTTCTTTAAACTTTGCCTAATTTTGCATCTTTTAACGGGATTAGCACATTCTTATTTGTAATACAATAGTATGTCTTAGAATAGTTGTATCTCAAGTAAACACTACAATAATATGTAAAGTCCTGAAATTAGTTAATAATTTACATTTAAAATAAATTAGCCCAGTGGCACAAGATTAAATTGTAGGCTCCAAATAAAAAAATCAGCATATTCCCCCATTATCTGTTTGCAGTTGAAAAATATTAGCTGCTATACAGAAATTATTTGTGTATTATTTATGTGGAGAAAGAAAATAAGCAGTTGTAGTGGCCATCTTTATTTCCTTTGACATTAACTCATCCTCTATGAATCTGAACAAATGGAAATAGGTAGGTAGTGCCCCTACACTAAACTTGGGAAGTACGTGATATATTATCTTTAAAGGAAATGATCACAGATTGTATAATATTTATTAACAATCTTACTCTACACATTCTCTCTTAAATGGTCCAAGAAATAATTCTGTAAAAGTGAACCCTAGAATAGATATAGCCAGAAGACGATTTTCCTCGGTACCAGCACAATTTCCAGTCAATTTCCAGTCACAGAACCCATTTTCATTGAAGTCTAGAATACGTAATTTCTTTTCCTAATTCTATTCTTTCCCTCTGAACATTATCTTAATTTAGCATACATCTGTCAAAGACTATTTCTTCCAAAATGACACAGCATTAGTAGTCACAGAGAGGCAGTCTGGAGCCCAGCCATTCCCCAGCTCCAAAGTCTAAAGACTGTGTGACCTTATGCAAGTCATTTAACATCTCTGCATCTCACTTTCTGTATCTGCAGTGGTATTTACCTCATAAAGCTGTTGTGATGATGAGTAAATAATGTAAAACTTAAAGAGCAGTGGTAACACATACTAATACACCCAAAAAAGTATGAACTATTATCATTCCAGTTTTCCATCAAACCAAATAGTATCCTCCTAAGCAGCCTACAGATTTACAACTGAAAACCAAATCAGAAGTAAGTCAAAGGATTAAACATGTTTAGAAACAGTGTCTTATTAACTTGTTACTAAGACAATAAAATGCAGAGTAAAGACACTATAATCAATTCCTAGTTAGTATCTGGAATGACTGCATGTGTGTGTGTAAACCCATTTATTTATAAAATACAAAAAATTACTATTAATATTTGCCTTGCTCTTTCTTCAGACATAAATTTCCTTTAAATTTTCAATAGTACCACATAATTTTATAACTAAATTTTATTACAGCTGAACACTTCAAAGAGTTGTAGCTTTGCAATTTTGCTATGATTAAATAGAGAAACTCTATTCAGAAAGTACAATAAACATGAATTTATGGTACTTGGCTAATTATCAGTATATAAACTATTTTGTAAAGTTGTTTCTTACACAAAGGATCTAAAATGCAAAGAAAAATGGAATTTGTATTCAAAACAAATAGAAGCAACACCAGCTCCTATATGCTAAAAATATAAGACAGATTTTTTTTCTTAAGCACTCTAGATACAAATATTAACTGTATGGGCTGAAAACTTTTAAATTTTCGGTATAATTCAACAAAGTACACAAGTAGGAGTCTATAAATATATCCCCTATAATATTTATCACAAATACTACCAAAACCCTCTGAAAAACATAAACTACAAACACATTTTAAAGAAAGTCTCAGTTTTAACAATTACAAAAGCAATTAATAGCAATAGTTATTTGGTTTAAAAATGAAGGGCAGTGTAATGTAAATCCAAACACTGCACAAAGTTGTTTTTTGAGGATGCAGTCTTGAGTTTCTTAATACAAGGTTCTAAACACTTTCAAAAGTAAATAAGACTTACTCTATACAATTTAAAGTCTGAAGCTAAAGCTCTAAAAAGAAAAAAATTAAGATGAAAAGTAGGTATGTAGAAATAATGGTATAAAATATGATATTTATACAAAATGTACCACTCTTCAAATGTATAAGGCTTAATATGAATATTTTTGGACTATGAGTGTTGCACACAATTTTTATAATCTCAAACCATTCAAAATTCAGTATTTTAAAAATGTTTTGATATTTCTGAAGTGAATGAACATAGTACAGGAGGCAATTTAATGTCAACTTATCTATACTGTTCCACCGAATAAAAATAAAACTTTTTGAGCTCAGGAGAGAATCTACCTTTTGAATATTTGCTCTCTATGTAAATTCGACTTTGGGGAAAGTCCAAATTTTGTAACATGAACTAATATCCACTAAGAATTGGCCCAAGTTTAAACATAAGACACAAAACAGACCTAAAGTATCAACCAGTTTAAGTCTGCCCTATACAGTTATAGTCATAATTACTTTTTACAAGAAGTAAAGTGCTTTAAAGTAAAAAATATTTTTGTAAAAGGTATTATTAATATTATCAATACAATAGACCCCCCTTATCTGTGGTTTTCCTTTCTATGGTTTCAGTTACCTAGTCAACTGTAGTCCAAAAATATTAAATGGAAATTTCCAGAAATAAACAACTCATAAGTTTTAAATTGCGTGCAGTTCTGAGTACCTCACTTCATCTCATCATGTAGATATTGTAATCATCTCACATGATCACAAGGGTGAGTACAGTACATTTTGAGACTACATTCACATAACTTTTATTACAGTATAGTTACAAATATTCAATTATTGTAGTTAATCTCTTACTGTGCCTAATTTATAAATTAAATGTTATCATAGGGTATGTATGTATAAGAAAAAAACAGAATTTGGTATAATCTCTGGTTTCAGGCATCCACTGAGGGTCTTGGAATGAATCCCCATGGATAAGTACTACTGTATTTAATATTCAAGTAGAATTTTCTAAATTAGTTCCACTTTACCCATTTCCTTTGAAAATTACCCTTCTGCCATAATGTAAACACACAATGGTCCATAAAATGGTGACATTAGACACATCATAATTTGTGATGTGAGCCCTTAAACTGAGATGAAATCTCTATTAACCCAAAGATAGAGAGCTTTTATTTCTTGCACATGCCCCAAGTAACTAACATCAACTCACATTTTCTGTAAGCCTTGAAGAATTTTTATTTAACATAATGAGAAGTTTAATAACTTATATTAAAGAATAGCTAGGGTTCTTCTGTTGTTGTTCACCAACTGTTTTTGTGACGATAACTCCGAGATCTGGAATATGATCGAAAATGAGAGTGTTTTGCTGTTTGTGCTTTAGTTTCAGAATTGGTATACCCTTTGGGAGATTTACATGGGGATCTTGCTATGGAGTCAGAATGTCTTCCATGTGATCTTGATTTTGTTCCTGAGCTAGTCTGCTTTTGAGGTGAACTTGATTGTGATTTTCCTATTGACTTGGACCTCTTTTGTAAGGACTTGGACCTTGACCGTCCTCTAGAACCAGAATTCCTTCTTGGAGTTCTTGACTGCCTTGCTGAGGTAGACCGCCTTGGTAGTGATTTGGAGCGAGATTTAGAATGGCTATAGGAAAATCGCCTGTGTCGAGACCTGTAAACATCCACAAGGTTAGAGTATATATTTCACACAAAACAGTTGATAGGAAACAACACTTACAGGAAATTGTATACTTTACATAATATTAGTTAGGTTTTTATTGGTAAATTAAAAGAAACAATTCTGATTTTATTATGCATGCTTTTGGTTCAAACATAACAAGCTAGTAATACTTGTCATACTAGAATGTACAACCAAAAGATTTTTATTTTACTAAATATATCATATGACATGGGTCATGTTCTGAAAAATGCATATTTAGTCTGGGTTACACAACTCCTAAGAGTTATGGAAATCTGAAGAAGACAAACAGAGAGAGAAAGAAAATAATTAAAGTTTACCTAATAATGCTTATAAAAACGAACACAAAAACCTAGGTGCGGGACTTCTAAATTCTGCCATTATAGAGCAGCTTGTATTATACTAATGTTCCCATAGACAATAGCTATATAAAAAAATTAGGCAACATTTATAAAACAACTGTATGAAAGCATTGGAGAATAACCAACACAACAGAGGGGTTGTAAGTCATGCTTCTTTTACTAAGACCATTTTCCTAATGTCAGCATGGGGGAATTGAGAACAACCAGAAAATGGCTATTTAACTAAGCTGGAGACAGAAGTTAGAATTCAGGGCTATCAAAATGGCTGAGACTTCAGAGGCAAAATTCTAGAGGTAGAGATTGCAGACAAATTTAAAAAACCCTAAAATCTGCCTGCAAATTCTCAAGTCACTGGCCATCTTCTAAGCTGTGCACACAAAAGGATGAGACACACAAAAGGTCAGCAAAAAACTGCAGCTGGAAGATTCAATAACTGAGCTGAAATTTTATCAGACACATAGTGTTGGGGACAGAGGCTGGAGTTCAAGGCCCCAACAGGTCAAGGAGCCTTGAGTAACAACCCAGGCTTTCAATTTAGGACCCAGAAGGACCATGTCAAGGTGATCTGCCAATACTCTGCCTGCTAGAATATAACAATTTTCTTTGGAGAATGTTATCATTGAAAGCTCCTATAATTTTTCATCAACCATGTCTAACATCCAAAAAAAAAATTATGAGGTATGTGAAAAATGGATTAAAATGACTAAAAACCAAGGAAAATAAAAAACAAAAGAAACACACAAAGTAATTTGGTTACTGGTATTAGACAGGAATTTTAAAAATCACAACTAATATGTTCAAAAAATAAAAGAAAAAGACAAGCAGATGAAAAAGATGGAGAATTTCAAAAGAATTTTGGAATTTATAAAAAGAAACAATCGAACATTTAGAACTCAAAAAAATATATCTGAAATTAAAGTCACTAGATGGAGCTAACAGCAGGCTAGATACAAAAGAAGAAATAGTGAACTCAGCTGAAAAACAGACTATAAAACCATTATACTGAAACACAATAAAAGAAATTTTAAGAAATCCAAAACAGACCATGAGAGATATCTGGAAGACAGTCACATGCCCAAAGGAAAACTGAATAAGGCAGAAGCAATATCTGAAGAGATAATGTTCTAGAATTTTCCAAAACTAATGAAAGGCATCGACTCATAATTTCCAGAAGCTCAGTACACCCTAGGTAGAATAAATACAAAGAAAACTACGCAAGGCATATTACAATGAAATTGCTGAAAACTAAAGTCAGAGAGAAAAATCTGAATCGGCTCGAGAATAAGAGACACATTACCTTCAAAGGAGCAACATTAAGAATGCCAGCTGACTATGGATATCAGAATAACAAGAGAATTATATTATTAAAGAAAGGAGAAAAAGTCCCTGCCAACCTAGAAAACTATCCCGAGCAAAAATATCCGTCAAAAATGAATATAAAATGAAGATGTTTCAGACAAGCAAAAGCTAAAGAATTCATTGCCAGCATATCTGGTACTATAGAAAATACTAAAAAGTTTTTAGGCTGAAGGAAAATAACCCCCGATAGACACATGGAACTATAGGAAGGAATAAAGAGCACTGGAAAGTATAAATATATTGACCTAGAATAAAAGCAGTCTTTTAGAAATTATTTAATTTCATTTCTGTGGTACATAGTTGTAGGAAATGAATGAAAAACTCTCCTCGGAAAAAAAAATCTAACATAGAAAAAAAAATGGATGCTATTTTAACACTCCTCAGAGATAGTTAGGAATATACACACATTCATTGACGTATAAATTCAACAAGAGGGCCTGCCGAGTGGCGCATTGGTTAAGAGCTGGCTTGGGATGCCAGAGGGCCCCAGTTCGGATTCCACATATGAGGGCCAGTGACACTGCCCTCTACAGCTAAGATGCTGAACAACAGCTCAACCTGGAGCTGGGCTGCCAAGAGTCGACGGTGACGGCGTAGGCTGCAACCCTGCTGTAGTGGGTTGCCATGGGCTACCGTGTGTAGCCAGCAGCCAGCGTGAGTGGCCAGTTGCTGCAGTGAGCGGCCATCCAGAAGCCAGAGACTGATCTGCCTCGCCCGGGAAGAGCACGATGGTGCCAACTTGGGCCAGTGAAGCAACATCCTCCACAACTAGACTGAAGAAGAACAAAACGACAGCAACTTGTCTGTTCCCCTTCCCCAATTCCCCAGCGCTGTTCCCATCCCCCAATTCCCCAATAAAAATCTTAAAAAAAAAAAAAATCAACAAGGTTTATGGAATACCTACTATGAGGTAGGGACTACTGCTAAAGTGCCAGGGATATCAGCATGAAGAAGACAAAAGTCCTTGCTCCTCAAAGAGCTCACAGTCTAGTGATAGCAACAAACTAGTTTTTTTCCATATCACTGAAGGCAAAATAAGAGGCCTCTTTTTACTCCAAGGTAATACCACATATACCATATATACTTATATGTTAGGCTTATATATATTCTCTCTCTCTCTCTCTCTCTCTCTCTCTCTCTCACACACACACACACACACACACACACACACACACACTCTCTCTCTGATACTCATAAATACCTTGAGAGGTAAGATTTACATTCTCTATAATACAATTTTACAGATGAAAAAAACTAAAGTTGCATTAAGCAATGGTCTTAAAATTAATACAAAGCAGAACAGCATTGTCTCCCAAGAAGAAGTGGTTCTTTCTATTCCTGATACTCCATGATGATTTGGGACAATACACATTTTTTGTTTTTGTTTTTCTCCAGGCAAGTATTATACTTTATTTCCACTAGAAGGCAGCAAATGATGTGAATATCCACTTTTTTTTAGATCAGGAGAAAAACTGGTTAACTAAGGGTCTAATGTAATGCATCTGGAAACAACTTGTATTCTTAATGAATCAAATGGGCAAATTCTTTCTTCTCTTTTTTCTTTTACAAACTAAGTCTTTCTACCAAGACCAGTGGATATTAGTAGTGCTACTTTAGGCACAATATTACATCTACTTTGATCTTTGATACATAAACATTTCATACCATCCACATCATTCTAAACTTACGGTGAATAAACTTTATGTGTATAATTTATACTATGTATAATTATACATAGTCTATATATGTATAGTATATATGACAGTGTATAGGTAGATATAAAACTCAAGTAATATAAATAAACAGTTGAACATCATTCCTTTATACTATTCATGTCCTCTGTCCTCTGTGAAGCCAGAAGCAATACCAATGGTACTAGTGTGGTTTTCCTATACTCAAAGCATGTAAAACTTTTTAAATCTGTTTTTGTTTTTTTTTTTAAAGATTTTTATTGGGGAATTGGGGGATGGGAACAGCGCTGGGGAATTGGGGGAGAGGAACAGACAAGTTGCCGTTCCCCCATTCTTCAGTCTAGCCGTGGAGGACGCCGCTCCACCGGCCCATGTTGGTATGATCATTTCGCTCTTCCCAGCTGAGGCAGTCGGTCACCGGCCATTGGACGGCCGCTCATGCTCAAGGCAGCTCTCGCTGGCTGCCGGCCACTCACGGTAGCTCACTGCAGCCTACGCTGTTGCCAGCCACTCACAACAGCCCAGCTCCAGGTGGAGCTGTTGTTCACAATCTTAGCTGTAGAGGGCGCAGCTTACTGGCGCATGTGGGAATCGAAGCAGTAGCCCAGTTGTTCAGAGCTTGCGCTCTTACCAACTGAGCCACTCGGCCAGCCCCAGAACTCCAGGTTCTTAATTGTTGAGTTCATTTAGGGAAATTTTATTTATTTAAAATTCCTCATTTTATCTTGTCAAGCATACTTTTTTTTTTTTTTTGTAGAGGGCAGTGTCACTGACCCTCATAGGTGGGATCCGAACCGGGGCCCTCTTGCGTCCCAAGCCAGCTCTTAACCACCGCGCCACTCGGCCGGCCCAGGCATACATTTTTTTAATGTTTTGCTTTTTCTTCAGTATATATTATCTTTCCATTAAAAAGGTTAAACGAAAAACACTGGAGGGTACCCAATAAATCTAAGGTAATCTTTCTACACAAGAAGATTATGTATATTAAACAAAATGATTCTGGTGGACTATTTTTGAAAACTCTTTAAAAACTGTTTCCAGAAAAAGTAAAAAATTAAGTTTTCAATCCTCTTGTATTTTGTACTCACTCTTTAAGGCTATCAGATCGCCTCCTATTTCTTCCCCATGAAGAACTTCTACTTCGAGTTCTCCTTTGGCTGGGGCTTCTTGATCTCCTATGATCACTTGGAGAGCAAGGGTGACGTTCTTTTGATTTCATTTGGCCTGGTGCTAGAACATGAAGTGCAAGACTTATAATTCATTACATGAAAACCTCAATAGCAGCCACTCAAATAGTATTATTGTCTGAAAGAATTTTAAACAAACAAAAAAAATCTATCATGGCTGAAACTCATTCTGCTGAATAAACAAGCTGTAATGTTTAGTCACACTTACTTTTTCGATCACCTTGTGCAAACTGTATTTCAATTTGACGGCCACATACCCACTTTCTATTGAGGTTATAAAGAGCATCTTCAGCATCGCGCACATCTTCAAATATGACTAGCTGTTAAGGACACTTTGAACATCAGATATCAAGTAAAAATATTATTTTACAATTATTCACATGACATGAAACAGGAAAAACAAGTTCTAGTAACTAAGCTCACATCTCCAATACAATATAATCAAAAAAAATTTCAGTTATGAAAACAAATGCCCCATTATGATTTAGAAGAGTGAATCTAAAAATAAAAAGAACAGAAAAAAACTGCAACTATATTTTTAATGTATACATCAGTGTAGTTGCAGTATGCCTATATAATTTTAAACATGTTATGAGAAAAAAGCCCAACACTGACTAATATTATAAAATAAACTGTTTAGGACTCACTTCCTTCTTTCAGGTAAAAGATTCATCAGGTTTTTCACTGAAAAAAAAAAAACCCCAGCATATAGAAGCCTTTATTCTGAATTTAAAATTACTCTTCCATTAAAAAGGCTTTTTAATTATTATATTCAGGAGAAATTACTTATAAACAAAACTGCACACACAAGTGACTAAAACACAATTTCTAAGCTGATTTAGTCCTTTAAAACTGACTATATTTACCTTTGAACCTACTGCTTTAAAATACCTTTATAAAAGAAACATAAAGGTCACCTGTAAACATTTGGAATTACATATATTGGTTTGTAATACCCCACTAAACTCTGTTATCTATATAAATTATACATTAAACCTAACTAAATATGAAAATAAGCTATATAAAATGACTGAATAGCTGTATTTCAGGAGGTTGTTCACTGTTTTAATTTAAAACAGAAAAAGCTCAAGAAATGCAATACAAAATGAGACTTTGGCAATTACCTCAATGTCACTTGATCTTGAACCTTGACCTTTACTCTTTAAGGCTTGCAAGATGGACTTTACAAGAGACGCAGAACCAACAAAATCAGACTTGGCTTTGACTCTGGAACTCTGAGTAAATGTAGGAAAGCCGAAGTCTCAACCTGGTGTTGGCTTTGTCTTTTGCTTGATAAAGACTTCCCCTCTTCAGGTCTTTATATCTGTGTCCACCCTCCCTCTTTACTCCTTGATGCTTGAACTTTAGGTGCCTTTTGTCTCGCCTGCTCGGTTTATGCTTGGATTCTAGCTAACAGGTTGGTTCAAACTGGGGGGTGCTTGCCAGCTACTGTGGACTGCTTTAGATTTTCTGAGATAAAGAAATAAACACATTTAAATTAGGCGATATTAATCTCATAACATATGCTCCTGAATATATATGTATATACACATGTATGTAGGATTTTCACATGCACACAGTAAGATAAAGGATATTGAACATAAGCAAATCCTCTTGGGCGGCGGGTGTAGAAGTCAAGTGGAATGTAAACGTCTACTATAGGGCCATATCGACCAAACTCACGGCGCAAGTCCTCAGGCCTGAAGTGTTTTAGAAATAAGGCAAAGAAATATGAATAGCTAGATTAAAATATTTTGCCTACAGAAATCCAGTTGAAACCCTCAAAAGAAAGTACATTACCTAGACTAGCATTATCTAAAATTGTCTCCCATAAGACTCACCCAAGGTTTAGAAAGGAAAAAAGAAAGAAAACAGATCTCAGGCCTCACTTTCAGAGTCTGATTCAAGAAGTCTGGATAAGGGGCTGGAAATCTGTATTTTTAAAAGCACTCCAGGTGGCTGTTATGCTTAGTCAGGTTGGGGAAACAATGACCCAGCACATCCCACCTTTGAAAGTTATTCCTATTGTCAGATTTTCCAACTGTCAGTATAAAGAGTTCTAACTGTTAACTATTCCATTAGGGACACATTCATTTGCTTCACTATATATAATCTCATGTTTAGGTTAATTTTGTTTTCAGATAGCAAGAATTGGATTCTAAAAAAGTCCTAAAATTATTTCTCAGTCTTTAAAGAAAAATGGATGTTTTACTATTAAACAAAGCAAAATAACTACTATGCTCCTAATTTGGCAAGTATTTTTGAGTCGCCTATATGCCTTCTACTGTGATAGGTATTAAGGGGGAAAACCAAAGACATTCATAGCATTATTTATTTTCGTGGAGCTACAATATAACTGAAGTGACAAATGCTTAGGATTAATAGCTGACAGTTACAGTGCATTTATATTATTAGCCATTGTTCACCTTAAGACTTCTCACAAGAATGCTATGGCTGTTTATAGATGAGGGCACAGATGGAAGAACTCACCTAGGGCCACTGAGCCAGCAAGTGACAGGACTGGAATCAAACTCTCAGAATGACACACTAGTCTATTCTTACCCACTAAGCAGATCTTAAGAGATTCAGCATCGAGCTATGAGCACAAAACACAGCTCAGAAGGGTCAGCAGAGGGGCTCAGATGGTTAAGAGTTAACTTAAGGGCGCGAGCTCTGAGCAACAGGGCCACCGGTTCGATTCCCACATGGGACAGTAAGCTGCACCTGAGCTGAGCTGCCACTGAGCTTCCAACAGGTGGCAGGATGGCTCAGCTGGTATAACAACAAGATTGCCTGTTCAATGGTAGGCTATGCCCACCTGCAACTAAGACTGAACTCAGCACCTTGAGCTGAGCTGCCGCCCGGATGGCTCAGTGGATACAGTGTGCGCTCTTAACAACAAGGCTGCTGGCTTGACTCCTGCGTGGGATGGTGGCTATGTGCGCCCGCAACTAAGATTGTAATACAGCACCTTGAGCTTAAGGAGCTTACAGGCCACAAGCTGCCGACGGGCAGCCAGATGGCTACTGGTGACTTCAACAACTAAGACTGAAGAACGACTTGGCTGGTCCCTTCCCCAATTCCCCAATTTAAAAAAACAAACAAAAAAAAACCACCACAGCTCAGAAGAAATGAGTACTTCAAAACACTGTATAGGGCCGGCCGAGTGGCGCGATGGTTAAGAACTGGCTTGGGACGCCAGAGCGCCCCAGTTCGGATCCCACATATGAGGGCCAGTGACACTGCCCTCCACAGCTAAGATGCTGAAAAACAGCTCAACCTGGAGCTGGGCTGCCATGAGTCGCCAGCGACGGCGTAGGCTGCAGCCCCTGTGGCAGTGGGTT